CGCATTAGGTGACCAAAGTATCTGAGCTTGAGCTTCATTATCAATCCTTCCAATGAGCAAAGAAATTAAACAGATATAATAAAGAATGTAGTAAGCTAGCAAGTTAAGATAACTGTGCTAACCATTTTCTTCTTAAGGCTTTAAGAGACATCTGAATATTAGCATTTCCACAGAAAGGATGTTTCATAGTTTTAATTGCCAACATTAAAGGTCCTGCTCCATACTAAGCATTCCACTATCTGAATATGTTAGTTTCCAAGCTTTTCTGCAACATATAGCCTTTTCATTACAATCTGTATGTATAGTTGATGCAAAAGGAAAGTGCTGAATTCCTGCCTAAGAATTCTGAATTCCATTGCCTCAGGGCTTCAAATAGTTTCAAAACCCCTAGAGAATTTCTCTACTACTCCTTTTCCAGGTCACATTTTCTTTGTTGCTGTATGCTTGCTTGTTGTTGGTCATCTTCATCCTTCCTAGGGCAGGTCTGCATTTCTGTTTGATCCATCGTCAATCCAATCCACCCGCTGCTTCTTGAATGCAGTAGCACATGGCATCATCATCCACCCTTTCAGTCCATCACAAATACATCCCCAGCCCGTGTTTTGAAGCTCCACTTCAGAACTGTGGTTTTCTGTCCTAAGCCTCATCTTAAGCCCTTCCAGGCAGATGGTCTGTAGCATTTCTTCTTATCTAGTGACAGCCGCAGCTCCAATTAGCTACAGCACCTGGCATACACCCTCGCCTCATGTGGCTGGTTGCCCCCGCCCCCCCATACAGCCATTTCATCCTGAGCCATTAGTTGGCATGTTCTTCACTGGTCAGCCCCTGCTACTGCCTCTCCTCCTCTTCCTCTCTGTTGTTATTTTCATCATCATCTTGTGGTTGATGCAATGATAGCTAGTTCAGTCAATGGACCTTTCTCACCCCATGTTTTCCCACTCCCTCTCCTTGAATCTCCCATCTCCCAGTGGGCATCCTTTCAATTTCTGGCCCTGCTGGGCAAATCATTCTCCCCTTGCTTTCACAGACTCTAAAGCTTCTCACCCTTTTCTTCCCCCCCCCCCCAAATCTTTAAGTTGCAGCATAGTCGTATTGGAATAAAACTACGTTTCAGTGAATGCTATTTCGCTTCCATAAAGCTGAATCATCAGTCCTTCCTTCCTACAAAAGTCCTTCTCTAGTCCCACAATAAAACATAGAAGCAAAGAACACCCTCTTTGCCTGGAGTATTGTGGTATCAGAGCAACAATGGTACAATAATGTCTTTTATTTGTTTTATTGTAAGCTGGCTAAAGTCATGTGAAAGTGAGATGGGCGGCTATATAAACTGAAAGAATGAATGAATGAATAAAAAAAGAAAGGATCTGTGATACTGTTGAAGAAGAGAATGTGGGGAGGGATATGAAGACATCCATGGGTGCAGACATTTGGGAAAGCAGAGGAAAAGCATGGCAACCAGTGAGGTGGAAACAGTCCCTGAAAGGAAAAGGCAGACACAGAAAGACCACCCATACCTGGCCCTGCCAGGGGAGGCTTCTCTTTCCTCTACAGATGGGAAGTGCAAGAAGCAGTAGAGTCAGGTCCTGTGGTACCCATAATCTGAGCACCAACCCACTGCAATCCAGACTGGAATTTTAAAAGATGGCTTCAGGAACATCTGGAATTGCCTCTACTCTCTTAAATTGACACAGCTCACTAGAGACAGTAAACCATGAGCCAATCTGTTGTTATGTAGGATTATGTTATGTAGGATGTTGGAAGTTATGTTGGGTTCCTAACCCCCCCCCCCCCAAAGAAATGGCACAGAGCAGCTTTTGTACTAGCAGAGGTTTCATCAGTTACTCTTTCCTTCGAGCTTTAGAATGTCATTTTCATGTAATTTCCGTGACTCAAGAGTAAAACTGCTATGGCTTTATGATGTGCCAATAATAATATTCTCTATTCTTGCATAAATTTTGAAGCTCAGGAATGTAACTTCATAATAAATAACACATGAAATTGTCTATACCGATGCATTATGTTATATAAATAGGCTGAATCTGAAGTTTTTTCAGATAACAGGTCATTCTTTACTGTGTTTTTAAATTACCTAACTTGCTCTGTCATAATTAAGTGGGGACTACTAGCTGCCCCTATAGGTAGGGGCTCTGTCCTGTTGTGTTTACTGTTTCTATATTCTCCTTATAGCCAAAACCATTGAATGTTCAAAATCAGCCATTTGGATCAACTAGCTACATACATGTGTTCCAAAACATGGATTCTTGAGTTTAATCAACTACAAAATGAAGTATCAGTTTAAAAGCCTGTAGTGTTTTTCTGCTAGTAAGAATACTGTCCTTTAAGAAATGTTCTCATACACATAATTTAAAATACAACTATTTTCAGCTCTTCTAGTATTTGTCGCAGTACATTTTTGCTTCCTCTACAAAAGAATATAGGCCAATGTTTCATTAGCAGAATTTTTCCCATTATAAAAATTGCAAACCAGAAGAAATATGACCCTCTATCAGGGAGTATTATAAACTATAGTACTGCTGTTTTTATAAAGCTTATATCCAAGGGGATACTTAAAATCAGTTTTTAATAAACAGCTTCGCCATTTTCTATTGCACAAATTCAGGCACCTACTACTGTGACCAAGAAATTGTGGGTTCTACGCAGCAAGTAATAACATGGTTGAGTTACTTTTACACCTAAATCAACAGAGCCCTGTGAAAAGTGTGATAAGTAGACATTTTATAACAAATCACATATGCTAGGTATAAGAAATATATAGAAATTTTATTTTATTTTATTTTATTTTGGAGATAAATCAACTGAAGAAAGTGTGCTTTTACAGTAACAAAAGCAGTTCACAAATTTATTGCAGACCTTAGTCATTTTTATGTTTTTTCTCTTGGTATTAGAAACAGCTTAAGTCTGGCCAATATCATAAAAGCCTTGGGTAAAATGTGGAAAAACTGGCAATATTAGTAGAGGCATAGTACAAATGATCAGATTTAAAAGCTTTATGTAAGCTAGTAGCAGCATCCAATACGACATGTGAAATAAGTTTAATATTAGTGCCAAGGAACAGAAGGATTGATAATTAAATTTTCACACAGTTAGTTGAGGCAAAACTGGATTGGATTTTTGGTTGGAATCTGTTTAAGAAATAATTTCCTAGCTATTTTTAACCAAATTTACTATCCTTTACCTCTTTATAACATGATTTGGACTTTATTTATCCCTGTTGATTTAATAAGAACATTTTCATTTTTAAAATAAGCCGGAGTAGCCTGACTGTTTTCACTGTTGGTTTGCAGAAAGCACACGCTTATGTTTCTGCACATGTTCTGTGCTTCTGTATACTATTGTTTCTTGGTTCTTGACAAGCTTGCTAGGGCCGCCTTCTTCTGCCTGTCTTGGACCACAGCTCCCCTCATTCTTCATTACTGTGACGATAGTAATAGCAGTGGGGAAAGGCCCTCCATCTCTCCTTTTCTGTTTCTATTTCCTTTTAGAAGTATATTTCAATCTATTGAAATGGAGTAGGATGGAAAAAGCTACATTCTTCTTTCTATTTTACCATTCTCCCAATACATAATTCAGCTTTTAGAATAGTGATGTGCAGAATTTAGAGGGTTTTGAATTTGAAACACCCCATTGCTGCATGTGAAATAGACTGTTTTGATCATTTCAGAATATTTTTGGCTTGAAACACTCAAAATGCAGGGTTGTTTGGAGTTCAAGACACTTCCAAAATGGTTGAAACAGCTTATTCTGCACTTAAAATAGCCGTTTCACACTCAGAACAGTGCAGAGTTGAAACATCACACTTATATTGCATTACCTGCCAGGTTATTTGCTTGCTTGCTTGTTTGTTTATTTTGCTTCGACTAAGAGACCCAGACATAAGCTTCAGTCATGTCTGGCAGGTGATTTTATTATACCAGGACCTTAACATTCTGAGATACAGAGTAGAATAGTAACTGCCACCACTGAGCAGCTGTTCTCCTTAGGGTATTTTTCATGATGTTCCAAAGAAATCTTCCTTCCTGTTACTTGCGCCTGCGTGCTATTTCTTCTTCTGTACTATGAGAGTATAAAGAGCAAGTTTCCCAACTTTTCAGTTATCTGTAGAGTACTTGGTCTTAAATCCACAACCTTCTTTTCAAAGCTATATGTGCATGCAGTTTCTGGACTTCTGTTTCCTACAACTGTAATAATATTTTGTTGCCCATTGCTTAACCTATTCTAATTGTGCAGGAGTTTGCGTGTTCAGGTAATTTTTTATTATGATAGCTTGTGCACGTATCATTGCAAGCTATTTGTAGGCCCTCGTAAAGGAAGGATGCTTTGATAGAAATGAAACAACTAGTACTACTGTTGGCCAGAAATACTGTATAGTTACTTAGCCTTGGGATAGGATGTTTATGGATCCCTGTAGATGACATTTTTGCTAGAGATAGTGGATTTGTCCGGATGGAAGGGATTTTCTTGCTATTTTTTCTTGCTTTTATTTGATCTAAGGTGCCCAGAGCCATTTTGGAGTCAAGCGTGCTCTAAATCTCAGAAATACATACATACGTATGTACGTACATACATACTGGAGATCATTTATTGGAGAGTCATGGTCACAGAATTCAGGAGGAAGGAAAGACATCTTACATTGTCCAATAGTTTATGTTGTCCAATGTTGTAAATAAAATTTACAGTCCCCAATGAATCAATTTTAGAAATAAGTTGCTCCTCCTTGAGCAAAAAACATGTGGCACTGAAACAAGGAATTCTTCCATGAGCAGAAAGATCTCTTCCACAGATACAACAATCCTTCTACTCATGGAATAAAAAGTTAGGATCCAAGCTACAATGTTTACTGAATTCTATTTGAGATATTTGTTCAGCACCAAATAAAGTCAGTTGTTATTTGCCTGAGTGATTGATGACACTCAGCAAAACAGTCAACACAATTAGCAAATACTCCTTGAGCATCCTAAAACCTTCTCAGCAAAACAATGGATAGGTGGAAATCAAAATGTATACTTTCCTGTGGAGAATTTCAGCAGTACATTTATAGCTGACTTTTTCTTATTTAAATCCATCTTTAAATATAACAGTAACCTGTAACCTGAAACAACAGATAATTAATTTCATTTAGTTATTTGCCATCTGATAGAAATATAATTGTATGTAGCAATTATCTTATATGTCTTCTCCTTTAAATATATGCTGCGGAGTAGTGCCAATACAAAAATATTGTGCTGATACTGGCAATAATTTTCTTACTGCAGTTATTTTGAAAATGACATTTACACTTTAGACATAAATCCATAGCAATTCATCGTTTCCCATGCAAAGCAGAGATGAAACTTGACATGCATTTTTGCATAAGCACACACAGTATACAAATAGCAATTTGGCTTTTTGGGGAGAAACTTTAAGAATGGTGAAGAATATTTGTCCTTCATCGATACATCTTATAAGGCATCTGGGAAGGATAATAGACCTCACCAGTTGTGAATTTTTATTGCTGTCAAGGGTGTGCATTTGGCTGTATTATTAGCAACATGCCATATAACAAACCACAAGTAAAGTAAGGATTCATGATCTTGTTATTAACTCTTGGCTAATTTGTTTAATTGAGTAAAGTATCTTCTTTCTGTGATTTTGGCCTAATCTGGGGGCATCAAGGAGGAGGGCAGCTACTTGAATCCAGGGAGGAGAGAGACGGCAGGTGAGCAAATGGGGGGGTCGGAGTGGTAATTGCTCCTTGTCCTTTACACCACTGGAAATTTGTTCCAAACAGAGTAACTAGAGAGGGGAAAAACATCATAGCAGGAGCTAAAGAAAGGTTGGAGAGAGGAAATCCATGAAATACTAATCCTATCTTGTATATCAATGTGTATGAGGGCATCTTGAGTATCTTATGAGGATCCACAGGGCCCTGCAACTAGCTGTGGCTGAAATGTATCATCATCATCATCATCGATTTTTATAATACATTTAAACTTGGTTAGTATTCCTCAATAATGCTTTTTCCCATGTTAATCTTGCCTCAATTATAAGTAACTCTTGTAAAATATAGAGCTTTGTTTAAAAGTTTATACTTAGTCTCTCTCTGAATATTTTCCTCTAAGCACAACAAGTAGATGAACTAAATACATTCCTGAATAGCACACAGCTTTTCTTGAGGAAAACCAAAGATCTTCTGAAACAGCTTTTTTCTTCAAGAAGATGTAATCACACTTTACTATTTTAAGTACAAAGTATGGGAGATATTAAATATACTGGAGAAAAAAAGAAGGATATAATGTCATGAATTTTGAGATTAGTATCACTTTAATCTCTATATTCCATCAAGATTCTTTTTTAACATTAGCCAATTGACCATGCAAGCCTGTGTTTCTTTGGCAGAATAGATGACAGGCTATTGATTTCAAAGATAATGAAAAGCCAGAGTTTGTGAAACCCACAGACTTTGGCAATCTCTTTAGATATCCGCATAGTGAATACTGAAGATACTGGAATTGTTCCAATAAAAATGTTTTTGAGTAACATTTTGGATTTCTAAACAGAAGGTACTATGTTATAATATTAATGATCAGAACAATTGATTGAAACACATTTAAACTTTCAGGTCCTGTTGGTGTAGGACTGAATGAACTAAAACGGAAATTGTTAATCAGTGATACTCACCATTATGGTGTAACAGTTCCACGTAAGTGAAAAAATCCACTCTGTCAATTCTTAACTGTATGATTCAGTTTCACTTTAATTAGCATAAATAGAATCTGCTTGGAGTTGAATATGGATAGGGATATGGATATCTGAATTAAGATTTTTTTAGGATCTTTCACTTGATGAGGAATGTAAATAAATTGGCTTCATTTCTCCAGTATTGCATGGGTGGAAGCAAGCAGAAAAAGGGCTTTTTCATGCCGTGAAAGCCAACATGGTCCTCATGATATGCATTTTTCTTTCGCCAGCCTTCTACCAGCTATGGAAATCACTAGAAAGGGGAATTCATGTCAGAGTTACAGTAGATTGAGTAGTCAAATATAATGGGGTTATTCCTATTTGATATAAAAGGTACATGACAGCAAGGAAAGGTTATGTACCAACCAAAACCCATTCCAGATTTGTATTTGTAGAGGGACAATGGAATTCTTGTATTTTTTCATATGAATTTCTGAGAGTTGAATTCCATCTACTTCAGTTGCAACAGTTTGTTGTTAATTAAAACCAGTAGAATAGAACTGTTTGTTTCCATTCATTTTCAAACTGGTTTTTAATGTTCTTTCAATAAAACCAGACACAACAAGACCTCGAAGAAGCCAGGAAAGTGATGGTGTTGAATACACTTTTATTTCCAAGCACTTGTTCGAGACAGATATACAGAATAACAAGTACGTGGAAAGCAAGAAATTCATGTCATAATATTTTGTGCCATTTTGCATTGCTAATATGAGAATGTTTCTTCATCTAAGTGTTATGCCAAATGCTAGAGCTAAGTTGATGAGAATTCTTGGATGCCAAGATCATAGTTTAAATTTTAATTTCTAGCATAAACCATATGTATTGCACTTGAATGGGCAATTTGAACACTGACAAAATACATCATTTGAAATTAGGTATTGTCCAAAGACAGATATGTAATGGTTTTAAAAACAAGATGAATCTATCAGAAGTTTCTATCTCTGCATTTAAAGGGTGTTTTTGAAAATAGGAAAGAATTAACCATATTTGTTTTGTGTTCAGTGTATATGCTGTGCAGGTTTACACTAATTGTTCTAGGGTTGTCAAAGGTTTGGAAGTTGGGCAAATAAAGTTTTGAAATAATTTGAATTTGAGATACATACTTTATAATAATTATAATTTTCATTCAATTTTTAAACATCCAGGTTTCTTTCAAAAATGTTACTGGGCACTTGATCCCCTGGGTCTTCTGTGTCAATGTAAAGATAGCAGATTGCCTTTAAAAAAAAAAAACAAATCAGACATATGGACATAAGATTTGTAAATTAAATATAAAATTATTTTTTATTTCAGGTTTATTGAATATGGGGAATATAAAAATAATTACTATGGTACCAGCATTGACTCAGTTAGATCTGTTCTGGCAAAAAATAAAGTTTGTTTGTTAGATGTACAGCCTCATGTAAGTAAGCAATAAGGTATTTTAATTTTTCTACCGTTAAGCTAATGTAAACTGCACTCTGTATTAAAAATTCAAGGGGAAAATTAGTAGCGAAAGAGTTGTTAATGTCCTAGCACAGTGTTGTCCAAACTTGGCCACTTTAAGATGAGTGGACTTCAATATGGCTGGCTGGGGAATTCTGGGAGTTGAAGTCCACAGTGACCAAGTTTGGACAACACTGTCCTAGCAGTTGCACCTGGAGCTGTTAGCAGAATGAAAGAGTGGACCTGAATATTAAAATACTATCTGCTTAGCATAACATCTTGTTCAGAATTACATCCTCCCTTATTCATAGTTTTATGTTAAGGATATTATAATACATGAGCAAAAATGACTTGGCATTTCAGGAAATTCAGCAAAGAATCATTTGAATGAAAGACTATAAATTGTGCTAAACAATTAAAATGCTACTTAAATTAAACCTAATAACAGTATCTTGGGGAATGACAAAGAAATAAATGAGAGAAATGCTAGATAGACACTAGAAATGACTTGTCTTGTTCAGAGTAAGTAAATTTTAAAATAAGCATGCTCACCTTAATATTTTCATCTCTCCAGACAGTGAAGCATCTAAGGACATTGGAATTCAAACCATTTGTGATATTTATAAAACCTCCATCAATTGAGCGTTTAAGAGAGACACGAAAAAATGCCAAAATAATTTCAAGCAAGGATGAAAAAGGTGCTGCCAAGCCTTTCCAAGTGAGTAAATTTTGTGTTCCTAGAAGTGTGAAAAAATGCCTTAATTTTTGTACCTTTCAGACTTGGTTATCTAAAAATACAAAACTTGGACAATTCCTTTTAATCTATTTCAGCCATGACTGCCAAATAACACAGTTTCTTAATTTGGAAAACTGTGATACTTTTTTCCAAATTAAGTGTGTTCTTTTTTAAGATTTCTATCTTATTTTATATGGTTGCGTTCCATTTTTTCCAAAAACTGACATAAACATACTGAATGAGCTGTTGAAGGAGACTTAGGAATCTAAAAGGAAGGTTTCCTTGGATTTTTCTCAAAATTCCAAAAATAAATATTGTGTCCTACTGAATCTCTTGCTTACAGCAGACCTAGTCTTAGGTAATACACATCTCAGGGCATCATTCCTAGAAACACTTTAAAGACATTTTTCTAGTTCTGTTTCTAATACACGGGCATTTTAAAATTATCGGTTAATGGCTGATATACAAGAGAATGGAGAAGGTTTGGAAGTTGGGCAAAATAAAATTTCAAAATAATTTGAATTTGAGATATATGTTTTGTAATAATTATAATTTTCATTCCATTTTTAATGAACTGTTAGATAATGTTAAACTTCCATCTTAAAATCATATAGCAGAACTGAAAGATACAGTGAGAAGAGGGCATTGATTCTCCATCTGTGGCTGCTGAAAACTAATTATTGGAATATTTACAGCAGGGGCGGTTTATGGGAAATTGCCCTACATATGTGGAAATGCCTTCCAGTTATGGAGCCAGGTTTTTATCCAATATATAAATTATAATTTTCTGTAAGTTTGATAGTTCTATGAATTGATTTGCTCTTACTCTTGACTAATCACTTCTCTTTATTTAGGAAGAAGACTTTCAAGAAATGATTAAATCTGCACAGATTATGGAAAGTCAATACAGCCATCTCTTTGACAAAGTTATAGTGAATGATGATCTTACCACAGCGTACACTGAACTGAAAACAATTTTTGACAAACTGGAGAGAGAAACATTTTGGGTCCCAGTCAGTTGGGTGCATTCCTAACGCTACACAAATGTTTCACAATACTCTAACATGGTACTTAGTTGGGCCTAGGTGGACATATTGTTGTTGGGGTCCTTTTCTAGTTATGACAAGTTAGATACACATTGCAGTAGAATGTCAATCTTATTTTCTGTGGATTCATAATAGAGTTTTCTAGGCAGGAGATCACAGTGAAGCCTTATTTTTACTGGATTGTGTTCTTATTTTTTTAAAAAAGCATCCTCAACTATTGTAATACCATCCTTCATAAATAATTTGCACTCTACCATGACATTTCCTTTAAGCTAAGATTTGTTAGAAGATCTTAAGATGAGAGATCCCTGCTAGCACCCTATCTAGATTTGGTTAGCACTTGAAAATGTTATAACTGGAGCATTTATTTGTTATGAATGTAAGTGTCTGTTCAGTGCTGATCTATATATGTAGAATGCAAACTGCTTCTCTACATTCAGCTTGACATTGAGCAAATTGAAGTTACTTTGGTGGAAAAATTATCTTAGATGTTTTCAATCAGCAATATATAATATTTTACATCTTAAGTATTTGGATATTGACCTTTGGTGGGATTTAAGACAATGGGATTTTCATTTAGGCCAAGCTTGAGATGGTTTGAATAATTCTTATATAAGAATGAGATAACGTGGTGGAGGGTAGTAGCCTTTGTAATTGAGTCAGTTGTATAAATGTATTTATATAAATACTTGATTAATTTAAATATATATCTTTCTAAAACTGCCTTTGAGAAAAACCTACAAGTTATGTTTCAGTGTGAAAATCTGTGAATCATTCCCATTTTACACAAGGCACATGTCATTAATGCTTAAAGCTGCGTTCTCTGAAATGAAGAAAGAAACTTGGTTTTTGTTGACACCAAATATGTTACTGGATAAAGAGAGAGATCTGTTCTGTGTTAGTGGATCTGTCCGACCGATAGCATGCGATGATGATGCAACATCGCCTTAGCATGCAAAGAGGAAGCTTGGTTATTTTATGTTAACATATAAAAGTGTTAGCTGTCTTAGATAAAGGCAGAGGACTTTAGACATATATATATATGAAAAGAGATTCAAATAGATTTTTAAAATATTTCTTCTCAGTGCAGTTTGTTAAACAAATCCACAGGTCTCTATGATATGAAACCCTGACTTGACAGTTCAACATTCCATGTAAATATTTTCGTTTAGATACAGATGATTCACCAGGCTTTTGCCAAATCAGTGTAAATAGGTGGTTGCATTTATGTTTCCAAATTATATTACACACAGGAAGTGTCACCCTTCCCAGGTAGACCAGACAGGAAACACGACCAGATAAGCTGATTGTACTTTATTGTAAGGTCACCTAACAGTATCTTGCAAGACTGAAAGTACGAATCTCCCGCCCTCTGTTCTACAGCCTGATAAGTTAGGGAGGTTCCTTTCTGAGTTTCTTCTTCTGCTCGTTATGCAGCTGCAGGCTATACACTCTCTTATCCGACCATTCCCTAGGCAGCATCTCTTCCCCCTGTCTCCCAAGGTCGTTCCCACATACCATTACAGGAAGTGCCAACAACTACAATGTAGTCTTGGGAATCTACACTAGTGTGACACATCCTGTAGCTTGGCACTGAATATATGCAATGTACTCTTCAAGGCTCAGGTTTTCTTGTATTTGGTGAATTAAGTACCATTTAATTCACATGAAAATATGATCAGGATTATTTTTTTCAACTAAAATGTTCCATTTTTAATTTCTTATCTGATTACATCACTGTGGTTCTTCTAACTGTTAAGTCCTAAGTATCTTTGATTATCAGTGGATACAACAATATCCAGAGTGCAAAAGTGCCTGGTATCTGCCAACATCTAAATTTTATATCTAAGATGATCCAAAGTGCTTCTTTAGAAATAGATTTTTCTCTTTAGATATAGCATGAAAGGCTATTCTTAAAATGTTTTTTTGTTGAGAATAAGGAAGCATTTGGCCTATTACTACCACATGTTATGATAGCCCAGAGGATCTCTAATACTAGGCACATAAAATATATCAACATTGTGTTCATACTAGTGATAGTGGAAATTGTTAATCTGTATGAGATTCCTTTGTTCTCTGTTTTGAGAGAAAACTTAACATCTCAGTAGCTTGAATGGAGTGGCCCAAGTTTGTTGTGGTTTTGACATGTTTATTTTAACGAGAATGTAATTGCCTTGGTCCAAGAACACTGGTGTCCGTGGAGCTTTCCATAAGCGAGAGTTGTGTGTTTTTGTTTTTTAGCGCAGTGGAATCCTCTATGCATGCACATCTGGACTGTGTGGCGCTTCGGATCATATACTTAGCATGGAGAGGTCAGAATAAGCAACAGAGAGACACTAAAGTCCGTTTTGCTAACAGCGAAACTTGACAGTTTTATAAGCCTCAGCAAATTGTACTGCATGGTTCTTAATACTGTGTTTTTATATTTTAAATACAAATATCTGTACTGTATTTTTTGCTGTTTTGTCATTGTAAAACAATGTTACACTTTTTATACTGTTGGATTCAGAGCAATACTTGAAGTTGTGATCAATTTCACTTAAACTGATGATGTGCCTGAAATACAGCTCTATCACCAGAAAACAATAAATTATTGATACAAATTTACTCAAGAAAATGTTGGTTTTTTAAAACGCAACATCTTATTTGCCTGGAATTCAAGTTGTTCCGCTTAATAAAATTGTACAAAAGTAAAATTACATTTCTATTAGCTATTCTCCCTATGAAAATAATTGTAATGAATTAAAGAACCAATGCCTAGATTTCAGCCACACTAGTCAATGCAACAGACGTCATATACGCTATTCTGTGTTTTTACAATCAGAAGATGAGACTAATTTTCCAAATAATTTATCATTTTCCTCTAACTCGTACTTGAAGATGGGTCAAAGATTAAGAATCCAGCAGGCCACAAAGAGTCCTGAATTTAGAGGCCCCAGTGTGAATAAAAGTGAAGTGCTGGTTGTACAAGTATAATAATACTAATAGTACAGTGAAACTGATAAATTATCCCTTCAAAGGGCAAGGGACTTTTCTATCATTATTAGTTTCATGTTTCCAGGGATATTTTTAAAGGGTGTAAGCTGAGCAATTCACAATCCAGTGTCAAATATTTTGCTGCCGAAATTCATCTTCCTATCAAATCATTCATTTGAGAGAGAATATCTTATTTATTCCTTTTGGGTGGGATCAGTGCTGTTGAACAGAGACCCTACTAGATATGTTAGATACCACATATTCCCACTGAGATCAGTGAAGGTTCTGTATCTAAAATACAGTGGTACCTCTACTTACGAATGCCCCTACTTACAAATTTTTCGAGATACGACCAGCTCCGGCCCCCAAAAATTACCTCTACTTACGAACTCGCTTCGACTTACGAACCGGATCCACGGCCATTTTCTGCCCATTCCGCATGATCCGCGGCCATTTTCCACGTGGTCCGCGGCCATTTTTCTGCCCTGCCGCGTGGTCCGCGGCCATTTTCCGCCCGTTCCACGTGGTCCGCGGCCATTTTTCCACCCATGCCACGTGGTCCGTGGCCATTTTCCGCCTGTGCCACGTGGTCCGCGGCCATTTTTCCTCCCGTTCCACGTGGTCCGCGGCCATTTTTCTGCCCTGCCGCGTGGTCCGCGGCCATTTTCCGCCCATTCCACGTGGTCCGCGGCCATTTTTCCACCCATGCCACGTGGTCCGTGGCCATTTTCCGCCTGTGCCACGTGGTCCACGGCCATTTTCTGCCCGTTCCACGTGGTCCGCGGCCATTTTTCCTCCCGTTCCACGTGGTCCGTGGCCATTTCCTGCCCATGCCACGTGGTCCGCGGCCATTTTCCTCCCATTCCACGTGGCCTGCGGCCATTTTCCACCCGTGCCACGTGGTCCGTGGCCATTTTCCGCCCATTCCACGTGGTCCCCAGCCATTTTTCCTCCCGTTCCACGTGGACAACGACCATTTTCTGCCCCTGA